ATGCCTCCCCCAGCACATGAAATGTGAATGAAAAACTCAATTCCTTCAAATTCTTATAAGATGCAAATGTCTATGCAACATTTGTGAGGGACTAAAACTCCATCACAAATTTCAATTTGTGATATCCTTCATCCCTTTGAAAAAGAATTTTAACATTCACAGAGCATTTGTTATGTTTTGTGGGTTTTTTAAAGAAATGCAGAGAGTTTGGTAAAACCTGGTATAGAGGTAGTTGACTACTAATTCCCAGTTCACATATCTCTGGGTATGGTATGGAATTATAAACAACTCTGAGCCACTGCAAGTCTCCAAGGAGTTTCAGAAAAGAAATAATAACAAAATGAACTCTGTTTTCTATGGTTCTAACATTAAATTTTACCATATTCCAATCCTTTGAAAATTCATACCATACAGATGATGAACTAGTATATCTGTCAATATCTGCACAAGGCCCAGGGGATCAGACTCGTGTACAGTAAGCCCAATCTTGCTCTCCATCTATTTTAACCTCCTTGTTTCAAGGAAAAGAATCTGTCTCTTCCTGCAGGGACTCGAGAGTTTTGGGGGATAGCTAGCTGAGAAGGTGGGGTACCTGTTGTGCCATATATTGATTTCATTTTGTTTTCTTTTGAGTTTGGAGTCTGTTTGTCAATTTGATATGTACTACTTCATAGCTAAGTTGTATAAGACATATTTAGAAAAAGAAGCCTTTATACATGTTTATGTAAGCAAAGTTTGAGCCTTTTCTCTTAACTGTAATTCTCAAATATGTGTTACCACCAGAAAAAGACAAGATAAAGATGGAAAGGGGGACTACATTGTAAGTCTCGCATACTCTTAAATCTCTGTGGATTTAACAACACATTCTAGTTTGTAAAATTGGAAACTTGTAGAGTCTGAATCGTACTTACTCTAACTCATGGTGTTCTAACTGGAAAATAGGGATAACCTTTGTTTTTCACTTCATTACTGGGAAGTTCAATTACAACACCACCATCATTGTGCATTTCATGGACTCATGAACTACCAGATAACAGAAGGCCTGAAGCAGAAAGTATAGTTAAAAAGTAATAAGGTGGGGCCGGCCCGGTGGCGCACTGCTGTAGTGCGCCGCTTGGGAAGCGTGGCTGCGCTCCCGC